AAAAGTTCTGGATGCACAGGCTGAAGTCATTCCGCCCTAATGGTATTAACAAACTTAATGACTTCACCAGGATGAACGTGAACTAGACCCAATCCCGAATTGTAACAAACAAGTTCATTCTCTCTATATAGTGTAAACTTTACCGTTAATTCGTATTAGTAATCCTGGAACAACCTACCCAAATATTTACAGCTCACATTTTTGTTTATTTCTTTTTTCCGATTTCCAAATTTAGAATATATCCAAATTCATATTTCAAAATTATCCTTCCATATTATCTTTCTTTAATTTCTTTTTATCATGTAGAGTTACGCTATGTTGAGAGAATAAGACAATGTACGATTTACTGTTGGCCGTAATTAATTAGCGATAATTAATTCGTTCAATTATGTAAATCACACTTCACCAGAGTACACCCGATAGACCGGACGCAATTCATAGCGCTCCGGATTTCTTTGTTCACAACTGTCTATAAACTCAAAATTAAACATGTAACATTGTAAATATTTAGTGTTTGGTAGTTTAGTAGTAGTGCTAGTTGTTTTTGCTTCTCTATTTCCTTTGTTTTTATGACTTCTTAACTTTTTTCTTTGTCCTGAGGAAGGGACAGGTTGTCCCGAAAATTTGACAATTATTATTGTTCGTGTCGTTGGTCATTTTTAGTGCTTTATATAAATTTCCATCCATGACCTTGTATCTACTTAGTAGATCCGACACTTAGGATATACAGTGTTGTTGGTTTTTAGTGCTTTATATATATATATATATATATATATATATATATATATATATATATATATATATATATATATATATATATATATATATATATATATATATATATAGCACTAAAAATGACCAACGACAGGAACAATAGAAATTGTCAAATTTTTGGGACGCCCTGTCCCTTCCTCAGGACAAAGAAAAAATTAAAGAAGTCATAAAAACAAAGGAAATAGAAAAACAAAAACGGCTAGCACTACTACTAAATTACCAAACACTATTTATTTACAATGTTACATGTTGAATTTTAATTTTATAATCAGTTGTAAAGAAATAAATCCGGACTGCTATGAAATACGTCCGGTCTCTCGGGTGTACTCTAGTGAAGTGCGATTTACATAATTGAACGAATTAATTATCGCTAATTAATTACGGCCAAGCAGTAAATCGTACACTGTCTTATTCTCTCAAAATAGCTTAACTTTACATAATAAAAAGAAACCAAAGAAAGATAATTTAGATGTATTATAAATGTAATTTGGAAATGTTTTAGGACTGTTTATCGGATAAAAGAAATAATAAACAAAAATGTAAGCAAAAAATCTATGCGTGGGTTGTTCCAGAATTGATAAAGCGAATTAACGGTAAATTTAACACTATATAGAGAGAATAGACTTGTTTGTTACAATCAGGAATTGGATCTAGTTCACGTTCATCCTGGTGAAGTCATTTAGTTCGTTGATACCATTAGGGCGGACGGGGGGACGGACCCTTACAAACTCCTGACTTCTGTCCAGTGCTCAATAAATCTAGTGTTCCTCTCTCTGAGTCGGAGATCTCACTTCTTTCCAAGGGGCTAAATTTCTGTCCTACGCCACATGAGGTCGACGAAAAACAAGTCAGAGAGGACACCCGAGCATTTTTCGGAGACTTCGACTGAAGGAGCACTTCTCTAGAAAAGACTCCGATGATGATTCATACGACTCTTCCCAGCCACATTTGTACGACCTAGAGAAACACAAACTCTATCGGCCCAAAAGCAACTGGGAACCTGCACCAGGCAAATGCGGAGCCCTTGAGTCGTATATTGACGCCGTTGAGTCAGACATTGAGAAACTCCTTTCCATGCCAGACAAGGCCCCCGACAATTTAAGTAAGGAAGAGAGATCCGCCTTACAATCATTAAAGAATCGGGATGACATCGTGATCAAGAAAGCAGACAAAGGCTCTACAGTAGTAGTAGTACTTGACAAAGAGACGTACATGGCGGAGGCCCATAGACAACTCTCGGACGAATGTTTCTATAAAAGACTTGACTCTGACTCTACTAAAGAATTCTCCACCGCTATCACCAAAACTCTCGATGAAATGTTTGAAAATAACGAGATTGGTATAAACGTCTATGAGACACTCAATCCTATTGACTGTAGACCAGGACAATTTTACCTGCTTCCTAAGATACATAAAGAAGGCATGCCAGGTCGCCCTATAGTTAGTGCAATCAGACACCCCACGGAGAAATTTCTGAATACATTGATTTGCATCTCCGTCCACATGTAGAAAATATGCCATCCTATCTCAAGGACACCACAGACTATATCAACAAGACGCCCTCGACTGGTCTTCCAGATCATACCCTTCTCGTGACTATGGACGTTACATCTTTGTACACCAATATTCCGCACGATGAGGGTATCGAGGCCTGTAGAGAAGTCTGGGACAGTAGATCAATACAAACTCCTTCCACTGAGTCCCTTACCAAGTTCCTTGAACATGTTCTCAAATGTAACAATTTCATGTTTAATGGAGAACATTACCTGCAGGTTAATGGCACTGCTATGGGTACGAGAATGGCCCCATCTTATGCCAATATTTTCATGGGCAGACTTGAACGCAACTTGTTACTTCAAGCACCATTTAGGCCCCTTAGCTGGTTGTGATTCATTGACGATATAGAGATGAAGTGGGTGGAATACCGCGAGAGCCTCGAAGCATTAATTTCGTTTGCCAACACTTTCCATCAGTCTATCAAATTAACTGTTCACGTATCTAATTCCAAAAACATATTCTTAGATACTACATCTACCTTGATTGATGGCGAAATCGAGTTTAGTCTCCACACGAAACCCACCGATTCCCACCTATATTTCATGCCGACTAGCTGTCATCCCCCACACACATTTAAGGGTGTGCCTAAGGGTCTGGCTACCAGAATTCGTCGCATCTGTTCATCCCCTGCCTTATATCAGGAATAGAGCAGTCTCCTAAGGTCCCATTTATGCAATAGAAGCTGCAAAGCCCACAACGTACAAAATGCTATTGATGAGATAGCAGGACACGACAGACAAAACCTCTTACTCTACAAGGAGAAAGAAAATAGCAGCAGGGTCCCTCTGGTAATCACATACCATCCCGTCCTTAAGAATCTCAGCGGTATTCTTAAAAAGAACCTGCCAATTCTCCACTCTAACAAAAGAATGGCAGAGGTCTTTAAGGAACCTCCATTGGCTGCATACAGGCGCCCGAGAAACTTAAAGGACATGGTAGTTAGAACCAGATTGGACAATCCATTACCTAACGGAGGCTTTAGAGCTTGCTCTGACAGAAGATGTCTTCTCTGTAAGCACAGCTCTGACACAGACAGTTTTAAAAGCCCCGTTACAGGCCGCAGCTACAGAATTCTAGGGAATTTGTTTTGTCAAACAGAAAACTGCATATATCTCATCAGTTGTCAAGTTTGTTCCAAACAGTACATTGGGGAAACGGGAGATATCCGCAGGAGAATCAATAATCACCGTTCGACCATTAAGACCAAAAAACTCAATGAACCCGTTGGGGAACATTTCAAACTTTTAGGTCACAAATGGGAGGACATGACAGTAGTGGTTATTGACCATAATCCGAATTGGACCGATGCTCAGAGAAAAAGCAAGGAAAGGTTCTGGATGCACAGACTGAAGTCATTCCGCCCTAATGGTATGAACAAACTTAATGACTTCACCAGGATGAACGTGAACTAGACCCATTTCCTGATTGTAACAAACAAGTTTATTCTCTCTATATAGTGTTAACTTTACCGTTAATTCGCTTTATCAATTCTGGAACAACCCACGCATAGATTTTTTGCTTACATTTTTGTTTATTATTTCTTTTATCCGATAAACAGTCCTAAAACATTTCCAAATTACATTTCTAATACATCTAAATTATCTTTCTTTGGTTTCTTTTTATTATGTAAAGTTAAGCTATTTTGAGAGAATAAGACAGTGTACGATTTACTGCTTGGCCGTAATTAATTAGCGATAATTAATTCGTTCAATTATGTAAATCGCACTTCACTAGAGTACACCCGAGAGACCGGACGTATTTCATAGCAGTCCGGATTTATTTCTTTACAACTGATTATAAAATTAAAATTCAACATGTAACATTGTAAATAAATAGTGTTTGGTAGTTTAGTAGTAGTGCTAGCCGTTTTTGTTTTTCTATTTCCTTTGTTTTTTATGACTTCTTTAATTTTTTCTTTGTCCTGAGGAAGGGACAGGGCGTCCCAAAAATTTGACAATTTCTATTGTTCGTGTCGTTGGTCATTTTTAGTGATTAATATAAATTTCCATCCTTGACCTTGTATCTATTTAGTAGATCCGACACTTGGGATATACAGTGTTGTTGGTTTTTGTAGTGCTTTCTATATATATATATATATATATATATATATATATATATATATATATATATATATATATATATATATATATATATATATATATATATATATATATATATGAAATTTTCAGGCAACAGTCAAAATAGATTGTCAGAGGTATTTCTGCGAAATATAGATACAAAGAAAAATTATATTACATCATTTACTCATAGATTTCTAATCATAAAATATAAAATAAAATATAAAATGACAATATAAACAAAAATAACAACATAACACAAACGCATTGATATTTAAGGACCCTCTATACACTGATGAAAAATGTCTTTGGGACTTTGAGAAAATTATTTAGCATAAAGGAGGATATTTTGAAATTAACTAACTCATTTTTAATATAGGGAGCGTGCCTTTTTTATTCAGGAAAAATCTTCAAAGACAATGAAGTAATAGAAAAGAAAAATTGCCCTCACTCACTCAAATGGATAAAATACATGCAAAGAAAGTTTTCAAATACTCTATCTTGGTCTAATATAATGTTTAGAATACTTGGATTTATTTCAAATTATGTGATTTAGTTCAGATTACAATTTATTCTACTTGTTTGTCCAATGGTAAGTCAGTCTAATTACACAAAAGTACCCTGAAAATAGGGTGCAGTGTAGAGAGGGTCCTTAAATGAAATATTATGCACATTCTCTCTAAAGTCAATCTCACAATATCACTTGTTCATAATGCCCATCGTAAAGAAAATAATTTATATGTACATGTACCTTTGAAAACATAAGGAAAATTTGGTAAAACTGTCGGGATAGAAATATTATTGATTGCAACATAATATAGATCAAATTTGGCAAAATTTACAAACATCATTCCTCTGTTTTGCTAATGGGGAATGATAATCTCTCATTCACACAGTAATTTGTGGGTACCTGCCCCACTGGATTTCTGAAAAAAAGGTCCTTAACCGAAAAATATTAAACAACGGCAGATTTTTTCAGGTTCTCGTCCGAGTCCGTTATTCTCGCGGATTTTGCGGGACTTCTGAAATGACGCCAAATCAAGCTGAAAACTTTAGCACCGAGACACAACAGAGCAATGACGATCATGACAATTGTCATGATGGAGTTTCTAGAACCTGCTTTGTAGTTTTTAGCTAAACTAGCTCCTAGTGCAAGAGGGACAACACACCACGGTGTAACTGTGTAGCGGGTGTACCGATCTAGGAAGGCAATGTCTACAACAGTGTAGGCCAAAACTTCAACCACCAAGATCGAAAGAGCAACTGTGCATGCGTCATCATTGTCCACTCCGGGGTTTCCTTTATAGATCATTACCATCGCCATGTTCAGAAGAGTGGCAATGGTTGTCCACGCTGCGTAGACACTGAGTCCATTCTGAACCATGATTCGGATGCACCAGATATCGAGGTTTCTGCCATCTTTTCTTAAAAACTCGATGTTTTTATCAAGGTGTCGATAAGAAATGAACAAACACACATACAAAGTGAAGGCTATGAAAAACAGGACTGGGAACGCTATGATGATTTCTTCTCTATCGAATAGAAGAATCCAGGACAGGTTGAGGCTCATGTTGATGATGAAGGTGACGAAAAAAGTCCATGGTAAGAGGATTGGATTGCAGTAGAGGGGACCATTCTCCGTTTTCCGGAACAGATTGACAATAGTATAAACAATCCACACCGCTTCCCATATGTAGATTACACCCCAGATACTGAACATCCATCCGGCCGGAGTAATGTTCACCTTGTACTTATCCGAAATAGATCCTGTGCTGCTCTTAAATATCCCTGTCAAATACGGTATTAATTAACATTAATAGACATTTTGGTTGTTATCAAAAAGAATTACTTCAGGGAACGGTATGCATATAAACCTTACCTAGTTTTTGCCCGGTCTCTCCTGACAGGGAGTTGAATATAGTAGCTACCGCATACACAATCGGATTAATGACAGTTAGAACTACCAGAGGTACGTTATGAGCCATGTTGTACTGTAAAATAACAAAAAAGTGCTCTTGACGATTACGCACCATTATGTCTCAACAAATTTATGAACGGTGTAGATCTAAAGAATAGTCGTACATATCCATATTCTTATTTTTAATATTTTCAAAAACAATGTTCAAATCAATTGACACTCCGTTTTTAGATACACTAAAAAGGAATTAAAAGAATCAGTACAGTTTATTTTATTTAACTTACGTGATTTTTTGCTATTCCCACTTTCTACGTTGATGTCCTGTCCGTTATACAGTCAATGTTATTGTGCTGCGCACACATGGACAAACACATATAAAGTCTAGCGTTACACAACCTTAAGTTGTTGTCCAGTCATGGTATGGTAACCTGTACGTGATAAAAGCTAGTAAAAATTCTGTCCCCAATCTTCTGTAATTCAGTAATTATGACATCAAATCATGTGTATTTAGTATTGTAAAGTTTTGTAGCTCTGCATAAGGAAATCAAACTTTAGAATACAATATAATAATATAGAAAAAGGAAGTACTGGTATTTTTATATATTTTATACCCGCACATTTACCTGCGTTTATTGATCCACGTGTCTTACCGCGTGATCGATTAGCGACACTGGTCATACTACAGGTATTATTCAGGTTGACCCTGGCCAAATTTTTCTTTCAAAATCAGTCAACTGCAAAAGAATGTGTCAGTAGCAAAAATTTAATTTGAAAGGTAACGTTTCATATCCCTGAGAAAGGGTAGGTGTTTCGTTAACTGTGTTTCTGTATGAACCAAAACAAAGTTGCATTGGATATGAAAGTGAGTTCGTTGTTATAAAAGATGTAATCTAAGAATTGTCTTATGAAGTTTATATCTAACAATACATTTTCACCAGAAATGAACTGATTTTAGAGAATGCAATGAATGGATACATTTGGAAGAGTCTTTGTACATCTAAAAATATACCGAATTGTAAAATAATTGATACTCTGTTTCAGGAAATAAATTTTTAAAAATCTGTTGGTATATAGATGATTCGCCGAGAAGAAAAGGGGAATAAGATTAGTACATTGTACTTAATTCACAAGAAATTTAACCGTGTATATCAACACACACACACACACACACACACACACACACACACACACACACACACACACCCTTCCTTCTATAAAACGACAGATCTATAGTTAAACTCTTAAATTTCTCCAAACAATACATGATTTATGATATATGAGTCATACTTTGATAAACAAATCCATAAACAAGGACACGGATACTTGTAGTATTCATGACGTAATAAGGACACGCGAACCCAAAGTACTGTCTCCGGTACTGACAGACTAAAAGCAAGAATGCCGGTACACATTAATAGTTTTATAACAGAAATATATTGTTCAAACTGAATTGTAGGGAGGATTGTCGAACGTTTCATAACTGAATTGAATTATTCAGACCAAATTTAAGGACTTTGTTTATTTCGGTAGATGATTTTATAAAGATTTTTCTTTTTGATAATTAGTCTCACATCTTTGGGTCATGGTGCCTAAATACCTTTTGATGAGATCAACTTCCGACTCTGTCCGGAAAAGATTCGAAAATACTATTCGATCAGTGTAATATGGAAATAAAGGAACTGATTGATTGATTGTGGCAACTGAGTCGACTACAGCAGCTGTACCCTGTAGTTCTACTAGGAAATGAGAATGGAAACTGATTATCTTTGTGAAATTTGGGACCTATTGTATCAACTGTCCAGACAAGTCGTAGGAACCTCCATATAAAATTTTAAAAAGGTTGTAATAACAACTTGACAAAACGTTTCTATCACAGTTAATAGCGTCACTTGTTCTTCAACAATCGCTTTGTCCTGTAATATTTGTTGTCTTAATTAATTGCTATCACGACTTTTTAAATAAGGCGAATCTACATCTACAGAGAAATCTTCCAATTTACTGGATCGAAACATCATTGCTTAAATTTGTACATAACCACTTCACACCAGAAAGCTTTCTAAAATTTATCTGAACTTACAAATATCTGTTTGTACATTGTGCTTTATAATATTACACAGAAATTAAGCACTGAACACCCCATGCAGAGCTACTGTGTTAAAGCTATTCTCTGCAATTCACCTGGACTTTGGAATGTAACAGTTATAGGATTTTACAAAGAATCAGAAGAACAGGGAAAAAAAATGTTGTTATTTTCATGCGAAAATGATCAATTTTACTGGAAAGATTTATAGTTAGCAGATTTCAAATTCCCCATCGAAGATGGGCGATTAATTTGAGAGGTACTCCTGGAAGTCAATGTCTTGACCTCCTGTCTTTGAATTCCTATAATGAATAACTTCCAGTTTTGCAATTTTTTTCGAGGAAGAATATTTTAATGTCTGTCCAACAATGCATACAAACTTGCACGTGAATGAATTAGAATTCACAGTAAATATTGAGGACACTTGTGGTATGCGCACTGCCTGGGGAACTGGGGCACCGTCTTAGTTAGTGCAGGAAAATTAACATATTATAACTGTTTGTTAAAGGTCAAGAATGAATTTACGTCAGCAAGATAGCATATGGTATGCACATTACCTAAAGCGTATGGAAATGTGAAAACTAATTCTTATACGCCTTCCAATGTGTAACGAAATGGGGAAAAAATAAATAAATAAAACATGTATCCCCCCTCGGTGTGCAATATTATAAAGGATACACAACTTTAGTTTAAGAATGTCTGTAAGGGCAGATTATTCAGATTATATCTTTGTTTTCTGACCTTGAAATCAATCCAAAACTCGTTTTATTGAAATCAGAACGAAACTGTAAAAGGAATAGATTTTTTAAAAAGAATTTCACAGAAATTTCTATCTGGTTTTAAAATCATGTTAAAACCGTTGATGATTATTTTAAATCTTAAATTGATAAATATAACTATCCAAAATGTAGTGTACTTATTTGACATGTTTTACTGAAATCAGACTAAAACTGTGGGAGGAGTGGCATTTTTGAAAGAATTTTAAAGAAACAAGCTAATTCAGAGAATATTTGTCTCCCGCTTAAGGAAAAAAGAAGAGGATGGAAGAACTGGAAAAATTTTGCAGATGGAGAAAGGAAAAAAGGTCAACCTTGACCGTTCAGCTTTTGGCCTTTAAGTTAACTGGAGTCTTTTTTAAGTTAAAGAAATTCATGACCAAAAGTTTCATTACAAAAGCTTACAGAAAAAATAAAATTATATATTATCTGAAAACTATATATGCAATATTTCTGACCTTGACCTTTGGACCTCAACATCAATATGATATTTTTAAGGCCATGGTAAGCTGTGATATATAATTTCATTGCAAAATCTCATAGGCTTTTGAAGATTTAGTCTGGGAAAAAGTGTTACACAGAATGCATAAATTTATGACCTTGATCTCTTTACCTTTTGACCTCAAAATTAATAGGGGTCTTCTTTTCGTCATAGGGAGTTGTGATATTAAATTTTATTGAAGAAAGCTCAAAGAAAACTAAAGTTAATTATCATGTGAAAATGATATTTGTAATATATGAATTTCTTACCTTTATGTTACACACAAAGCAAATGTATGAATTTATGACCTTGTCCTTTGACCTATTGACATCAAAATCAATAGGGGGTCTTCCTTAGGTCATAGGAAGTTGTGTTATAACAAATCTTTATTGCAAAAGCTCAACGGATTTTTGAGATATCGTCTGAAAACGGAAGTGTTACCGACAGAATGACAGACAGACGGACGGACAGGTGGGCCCATATTAATATTCCCCCTTTCAGTGAAAGCGGGGGACAAAATAAATCTCTTTGAGTAATCATGGCAACAACGTTCATTAAAATAAAGAATTAATCTTAGTGTAGTATACTTGTTGAAATCAAACCAAAACTGATGACTTGACAGAAAAATAATTGACAAAGAAAAATAAAAAGCCTGAAAAGAAATTTATCAGAAAAATAGAAAACTACCTAAATTCCAATCGTGAAGATGAATGCAGGACTCGCTCCAAAGGCTTTTTGAGATATCGTCTGAAATGGCATTTTGGATGTACAAAATTAACCGCAAAAGACTATTCTCAGAAAGTGGGGACAGCTCCCCTGTCCCTCCCCCCCCCCTTCCCGATACTTTGTTCCTTCAATTTGACTATCGAGACCTTGCTGTGGATATATGCATAGTTACCTGTACAAGAGTGGGTCCAAAATTGTAGGATGCATGTCGATCATTTTGTTGTAAGAGGTCATACCTCCATCACTGTGCATGTTTTGATTAGTGCATGCAATCATGTGTACCTGTTGATAAATATATGTACTATTATTCAAATATATTTTTTAGAGGATTTCTAGTTAAGGTTCAAATCCAATATTTTTTCTACAAGCTTTGGAACACCAGTCGTATACGAAAAGCACCTGAACCTTTCAGCATAGAGAATGAACTGAAGTAAACTTCAGAAATCTTCATATTACATGTATGACCAATGGTTCACTAATATTCATAAAATAACGCACAAGATTTATGTCAATATTTATTTCTATTTAAAAGCAAACTTTATTGTAGATTTCTTGGACATTTTAAATTTGGTTCTTTATTATTCATATAAGTAAATATAAATACATGTATGCAGGTTTCTTCAAACATCAATAAATGCCTTAAGTTCACCTTGACTACAGAATGTGTCAAAATGCAGCAGTGCGGCATATATCTATGGAAAATAGAACAATTTATTAAACACACACACACCCTCACAATTTTTCTTTTTTAACCGGTATCATGAACAATCTATATCATTTTCCAAAAACATTTTATTCTTCCAAAATATGCTAACATACACGTATATAAAAATATGTACATGTAAATAAAACATTATGCACATCCTCGCATGTGGATTACAACTATCATCAAAAATCTCCTTGTGCAACGACAGAGATTCATCATTAAAAATTTTGGTAAATACAAGCGTTCAAATTAATGGATGGATGTTTGCGTAAATTTTAAAAATGGAAGGACAAACAGTGACTACAGTGTAAAAGTGAGCTAAATAGCATATATACTAAATTATACCACAAAAAAAAACGATTGCAATGATTCACTTCGTTTTCCGTTGGAAATACCAATCCTTTATCATCTGCAAAATATCAGTTTATACAACATTTGATTTCTTTTTCTTCAAGTCGTCATATGATTCTGTTATTAAACCCGATTTTGTGGTACTTCTGAGTTCGCGCCAAAGCAAGGTGAACATTTTTGCGACAAGACACACCACAGACAGAGAAATCATGACAATCGTCAAAATGGAATTTCTGGAACCAGCTTTGTAGTT